TGATTCAACCCATACAATACAGTTCTATCACTTCAAATTTTCCACCGGATAAAACCACACATCATCAACATATAATTTTAAATTTTAAAAAATTAAAAAAATAATGTCGTTAGATTTTGGGTAATGATATATTACGTTGCATCATATAACAATTTGCTATACAACATTCAAATTTGCTAAACAGTGATCATATTTTAACTTATTATTTATTTTAGTCTAACTAAGAAATTATAAATAAATCGGCACGAAAAAATCATTCTAAATAGGAAACTTGAACTGTTGCATATCTGCAACGTTGACCATTGTGTTATTTTTTTTTAATTTTAAATCATTTTTTAGGGGATGTTTTTTTTAATTTAAAAATCTAATTTTACCGGAAATGTTTTCCATCACGTTTGGAATACCTACCCTATGAATTTCAGACAATTTTGCCATGAAAATATAATTTATATTAGTTTTTCCATAGATTTTTATATAAATTATAAATGACTCCGGTTACCGTCAAAATTGTCTACAATTCATAATAGGTATTCTAAGCATGCTGGAATACATTTTCTGTGAAATCAAATTCTTAAAATTTTGAAAACTTACTCTAAAAAAACACATTGATGCTAACATATTTATTATATTTATATATAATAAAATTCTGAAATAAAAAGAGAAGAAAAAAATTGAAAGAAAATATTTTTTATATAAACTAAAACTAATCATAAAAAATGATAAATGATGACAAGGTCCTAAATTAATTTCAAAAAAAAATTTCAATTTTCAAATTTAATCCTTTAACATTTTTAAAAAAATTTATTTGTGAAAGAAAAATGTACATTTTCGTTTTTTGACAAACTTTATAATTTTATAATATAATTTGATATGAAATACCTTAGATCCATAAATAGAGGCTGTAGAGGGCAGACTAATAAAAAATAATTAATATATGCAAAAATTTTGGTTATTTAAAGTTGTACCCTTTTGACAGATTAATAATTATATTATTATTATTTATTATTATTATTAATTTTGGGACATAATATAATGTATATTTTATTGTTTAAAAAAAATTATATGTTTGATTCGAAAGTCTGAATGAGAAAAATTTAGTGTATATTACTAGGCAATACTAATTTAATATCTTTAAGATATTTATTGTGATTAAATAAAGTTATTTTTAGTACACCCCTCCTCTTTCCTAAAAAATAAATTAATATCTATTAAAATCTATTAAGAGACCTGCAGAGGCATCATTTGCACAGCCTGCCCAGCCTCGGTTATTTTTTTCAAAAATTGTTTTCGGCCCGGCAGGGGTTTTATATTTTCAAGCACTACCCGGATTTTTTTATAATATTTTTTATTTTTTTTAATTTTTATAGCTAATAATGACGATTTAAAACATTTGGTTTTAAAATATAATGCGCAGCCCGGGTATTTTGTTTTTAAATTTTTGCCCGGTTATACTTTAAAAATTTAAAATACAGCCCGATCCTTGAACCCGGCCCGAATCTGGCCAGACTTAGGGCCGGACCTGCAGGTTTCTATATAATATAATTAAATTAATTTTAAAAAATGAAAAAATAAGTTTTATAACTCTAATTCTAACTAGACCTAAAGAGAAAGTCGATTGTAATTAAAAAATATGTCGATTAAAAAACTGACATTTATCCTGAAAAATATTATCTAAGCCTGAAGATTTTTTTCATAGATGGCACAATGGTTTGGACATCTATTAGCAAAATCTCGAGGTCTGAAATGTTTTTCTGGCTAAAATATTGAGTTAGCCGTTTTTAAAATCGACTCAAATCGAGATGTTTAAGAACACTATACAGTATACTCTATTATTAAATATAATATCAGAAGAAAATGCCAAGGGTACAATAATGTAAATTATACCTAAAGCGATTTATTCGATTGATATTTTAACGAATAACAAAATTATACAAATATGAATAAGGAATATAAAATATATTATCTTGTCAAATTTTTTAATAATTAAAATTATTAGAAACAATTTGTAAATATTTAAAATTATTAATTATTCAAAATTATTACTTTAGATTTACCTTTCCGAAATTTTTTTTAAAACTTATCCACATCTATAAATCGCTCTTTGAAATTTTATTAATCTATTTTTTTCATTATTCAAAATAATTTAAAAAGAATTTAATCTTCGAATCGAATAAAATCGAATGTTTTTATTGTTCGTATAATAAGAATAATATAATTATTCAGAGTTGTTAGTGTAACTAGCTACAAAAATGTGATAATTGAGAAACTATTTTAGCGGTATCTATATCTATTTTTAGATACATTTTGATTCTATTTTATTTTACGTTTTTATATTAAAAAATGATAATATTTGAATTATATTCATTTAATAATAAGTCCAAGCTTATTTCAGTACAGATGAATTTTATTTTAAACGCAATGGAGACAACATGATAAATTTTATATTCGAATTTATTTTATTTATATTAATTTTAAAAAAAATATCATAATTTTTAGGTGAATATTTCTAGACAGGTTCTGAAAAGATATCAAATAATTCAATATTAGATTTGAATATTGATATTCATTAAATATAACAATCACTCTTTTATCAAGTGTACCGATAAAAGGATTTACTAGGGCTAAAAATGTCTTCACAAATAAATGGGAGTGAGCATTAATTATAGAAATTTTAAGAATGTTTTTATTATTAAAATGTAAAAATTAATCATATATTTATATATAGATATGATCGATAAATTTTTACCACACATCGAAGTTTGAATTTTAACAATAAAATCATTTTAGCATTATATACCTTACATAAGTATAATAAAAATGTAATTTGTATTTAGATACGTTTTTAGACGATGTATCTGTGTCAAGTTCTTGAAAAATATCTTTTAACAACTTTGCAATTATTAGATTTCAAAGTATGAATAATGCAAATATTCGATTAGATTTGTATTTTTGTTGGTATAATCCAAATACGGTCCATAAAATATCAATTAGGGAAAAATGAGAGAACTTTCCAAACGCTGATTTGCAGGCCTAATGCATTTCAACCGGTATCGTGCAATTTGGTCAAATTACCGTTTGGCTTTATAAACCATTTTAAAAAAATGCAAATTGTTTTGCCTTTTTGAATAGTTATTTATAATTCCTGGATTAGCATATTTTTTTGTCCAAATAAAGATACTCCATTTTTTACAAGATAAAAAATTCCGCCTCAATTTAAACAAGGTATGTTTATATTTTTTTTATATTAAAAAAGTACAACAAAACGAAAACGCTCAATTTATGCGCGCTACAAAGAGACTGTGGAAAAATAATATAAACTTGAGTAGGATCGATTTATAAAAAATATATTTTATATTAAATCAATTATTAGCTAGATATAATGCTTCATAATGGATCATTTAAACATTCATTCATTTTTTGAGACTTTTGATTTCATTTTGAGACCATATACAAAATACGATGATAGGGAGAAAACTGCCGGAGATTTTTTTTTAAAACTCTTCAATGTCTAGATGGGTGTAAAATTCGGGCGGTGCCTAAATGGTAATTGCTAAATAAAAACATCGAAAATTCCAATAAAAAAAATATATTTTCTATTCATTAAAAAAAGAAATTATTTCTTTTTTTTAATGTAATTTGACACACAAAAAAAAATTGAATGAATGAAATGGGAAAAAATATATGTAAAAAAAATAAAACCAATACATCTTATTTGAATACTGCATTTCCCAAAGATGCCACAAGTCTATTTAATTGCTTTTAAATAGTGTTGTTAAACGGCTCGTTTTGAACCGATTTTTAAAAACAGCTAATTCAATATTTTATCCAGAAAAATATTATGCTAGCCTTAAAATTTTGCTCGAGAATGGTAAAAAAGTTTGAACATCTATGAAATCTCATGGCTTAGACAATATTTTCTGGTTAAAATATTGAGTTAGCCGTTTTTAAAAATCGGCTCAAATCGAGCCGTTTAACAACACTACTTTTAAATATAAAGAGCAATTTTTAAAAAAATATTTGGAATTTTCTTATTAAATGAGCGAATAATTTAATGAGTAGCCCCACCCCCTAGTAAAGCATTTTTCATTTTTATTGAACCTCAATCATTTTAATAACTGTAGTATTCACTTATTTATGCAATTAAAACTTGCTACATTTCAATAAAATATTTGGATCTAAGGGGGTAGGCTAAGCTTAAATTTAGCGAAATTCTCAAAATAATATTTAAACGGCTAATTTAATGTAATTTTTAGGATTATCATAATGCTTTAAGTTTGATTCGATAAACAAAATTTGCTACTTCTCATTCAGTTTGAGACATGTCTTATATAACCTTTTTTAGTTTACTGTCTTTTTTTCAGGAACATAGCGACCCTTTTCAAAAACATAGTAGTATATTACTAAATAAAACTATGTATACAATGAAATTACTTTTGTCGTAAAAATTTGGACATTGACTTATAAATGTGTTTATTGTATAATATGTGAACTTACTTACTAATAATATTGAATTTTAAATCATTTTGATACCATTAAAAGTTCAAATCCTGGCTTAATAGACTTTTCGTTAATTATGTTAATTTAAACTTGTTATAATTTTTTAAGAAAAAAAGAAAATATTGTTTTTTGTTTCATGGAAAAAAAAATAAAATATCGTTTGGTTATAGTACTAAGTGTAAAACAGTATTACATATTTTTAATGTCGCATATAAAACCTTTGCTTTGATTTTCAAAATATTATAATGAAAATAAAAAGGCAAAAAAAAAATAAAATAAATAATGATAAATTTCAATTTTTGAAATAAAACAATAATAAAGTTTTACGTGACTAACAGTTTTACAAAATGAAAAATACCTTCTATTTTTTACTACTACTTCTTTTTAAATATTTTCTTAAAATATGCATAAAATTAAGAATTTAATCACCAGAAAATAGTTGAAATAATATTCGAGATAATAATTTTTATTTTTATTAGACAACGAAATCTGAAGAGGGAATAAAAATGAATGTATGATAAAAAAAATATTTTATGTCTGAAATGGATGATTTAATTCGCACTTATCATATTTTATTGTTAAATCTGTTAATTCCCTGAAATAATATTCCATTGGATAAGATAAAAAAAAATTAATGAAATAATACCAAAACCCATAGACACATTTTAAATAAAAATATTTTTTAAAAAATGTTACTCTTATCAACAAATATCACACTTAATAATACAAATATGCCTCTATTTAACAACTCTCATCATAAAACAATCTATAATTCGGCCTCTGATAGCCTGATGCAAGATGAACCTAACATGATGTTAAGATGGTTCAAGTCGGTATTTTGCAGTTCGAAAAGTCCCACCAGATTTCCGGATATGAAGATCAGCGCATCTGATCCTTCCACAGCCATTATGGGAGGCATGCTGAGTAACGATTTTTCGGTTACTGTCCTGACTTGTGCTTCCATTATTTTGATCCTAGCATCGGTCTTCTGCGCTGTGACACGCAGAGTTTATCCTGATTATGATAGTACAGAAAATGACGATGGAATGCTGGATAATTGTGATAATATTCAAAATAAAAAACGGATTTTAAAAGTCGACAAGGAAAGAGATATTTGTAAGAATATGCAAAATAATCGATCAAGTTACGTTCGGAATAAGCAGGTTTGTTGTGTCGATAAGAAAAATAAAATGAATCTGCCCAAGACCGGGCTTGCGAAGTGTATCGAATGTCTCGTACAAAGAGTGTTGAAAGTCAGTTTTATTCTATCCATTGGATCCATAATCTTGCTCACAAATTACTCATCCTTCTGGATGATAATGCGAGGAGATATAAGAACCTTTTATGACGTGTACACCAATGAAGTAAGTTTTGAAATAACACTTTTTTTTTATACATTATTTACTCTATGACCAAAATTGATCTAATTTAGGTAAAACCATAATGTATCTAAAATAAATTTTTAACCTAAAATTTTTTCTAATAAGCTAATGGACTTCAGGGTCTCTATATACGTCGGGCTGAGGGGCTTCAACATAACCTTATCATCCTTAACTTATAATAACGTAAAACGCAGCGATTCGAACCAAACCCTAAATTTTACCGAATCCAAAGATTCTCAGGATAAGTATTTATTCCAATTCCTAAATAATACAATTATCAGCGATATCAATCACGACATTCAATTTGATTTTAGAAAAATAAATTATTCTCGTGCCCATCCAGCATTTTCCGCGGCGTCAACTTCGGCCTACAATTCGAGTACATTGTACTATAACAGTCAAACCATGTATGACGTAGCTTTAAAATATAGGCAATTACCTCATAATATAACGAATCTTACATATATCAAAAATAATTCGCTTAAATTTATACGACGTAAAAATAATTTCGCCTTCGATTATAATAAGGAATCAAGCATAATAAATGTTAATACAAGTGCAATATATTTTGTACCGACTAAAAATCTTACTCAAGAAAAAATTGATAGAGAAGCAATTCAATTCAGGAATAATTTTTTTAAACTGAACAGTATCATAACAAAATCTCCCAGAGAGATTATACGCAAGAACCCGATTTCGAGATCTGAATCTATTCTTAAAAGATCCGTTTTTAAAATTGAGCAATCCTTTAAGGATAATGATGATCCAAGAGTTAAAAGTACTTTATCTACAAAAACAATGGATATTCATTTCAATGAACGGTTCTATTGGAAAGATGGCGATAGGTCGACTGATTTTTTATATTATAAGAAGAGAGGTCTACCCTTACCCATAATGGATTTGGCGGAATGCATTTTGTACAATGCTAAAACACTAAAAATGGGTGGTTACTACACTAGCTATTTTTCTTGGTGGGCTTTCACATTTTGGGCCATGAGTCTGATACTGTTTAATGTGATGCTGACTGCTGGGGGGTAATAATTTTTTATAAATCTACAATTAATCATTATTAATATCAGAAATAAAGGGAAAATCTTCTATTATCAAATTTAAAAAGAAAGAAATAAATGAATAAAATTAGAAATTAAGTTAATAGGTTAAAGATCTAGACCTGATAGGTCAAAAAAACATACTTATTTTGCTCTATAAAGATTAGATTTTTTATCATTCTAATTTAATGATTTTGGAAAAATATTACAATGACAAATAAATTAAATTTTAAATAATTTTTTTTATTCTATCTCATTGATATGCGCTATGTTCGTCTGTGTTCTACTTCTTTTTTTTTAAACCCAGCTGTTTTAAAAGTATAATCAAAATTTTTCCTGGATTTATCATTATAAGAAGAACAACTTATACTAATATCTTTTTCTCAAATATATGAGTAGAGGTTTCACTAATTCAGGGTTCTGCTTCACGATTATTGCGAATTTAATCTTTTAAACTATAAAAAAAAGCGTGTAAAAACCAGGGATGTGAACCCTTTGAAAAAAAAGAGTTCAGGTCCGGGTTCGAGTACAGGAATAAAATTTGAAAAGGACCCGGGTCCGGGTTCAGGGAACATAAAAATAATGACTCAAAATAAGATTGTTTTTTCATTTATTTATTATTATACTTCAATATATACATATTTATAATTTACAAATGTAATTTAAAAATGAAATAATTTATATTTTAAATGATTCAATCGCACAATCATAATATCTTCTAAAATATCATCCTAGAGATTTCCACGTATAAACAATATATATTTCAAAGATGAAAATTCACGTTCTACCCTTACCTAAAATAGATAGTTATCTTTATAAAATTATAGTACTAGTGTCGCCGGTACAGCCATGAAGATTCTAGATAAGATATATAATTCTGGATATATTGAAGAATTTTCCCAGAATTTTAAAATATTTATATCCTTATTTATTCTCTTAAATTTTGAGAACTTAACTATTATAGATGCTATAAGCATTTTTTGATCCTCCTATCTATCTGATGATAATTTGATTTTTTTTTCTCTATTTAAAAGTAAAATTTCAAGATCATCAATGTTTTATTATTATTATTATCACTACAACCAGTAGATATTGTCGTAGCCTCCAATATATTGTAAATGGAGTTTTGCGTATGCCATAAATCCTTAAGATGGTCTTTAGCCATTTGTTTTCGCTCAATACTCAATAAAACTTGATATCGAGGGTCTAAATATATAGAAGCGTATACAACACTATTTTGCAAATATTTTTGATTTCGAATTTTCATGTTTTCTAATGTCTCGTATAAAAAGGACTGTAAATTTTTCTAAATCTGATCCGCATCTAATCCATATGCCATAAAAATCAAATAAACATAATTGTTTTTTTTATTGTAATCTTATTAATATTGTTATTTTTAAAGGAACTAATACACTAGTAAGGTTCTTTATTTGGCACCAATCATCTTCCAACAAAATGACTTCATATGCTCCTATAATAAAATCATTTCAGAAATCTTTGAAACTTTATAATCATCCTAGCATCATACAAATTAAGGACCAACGTGTGCATTATCATTTAAATTAAAATATTATTACACAATTCACTTTAAAAATAATCAACTATTTCTATAACATAGCATATTAAAAAATTCACATAATAAAATATAATTACCTACCCTAATGATATCAATCTCTAAATAAAATGGAAGTCCAGGAAGAAAATTGAAAGAAAAACTTGAAGATAAAATAAACGATTCCACAAAAAAAGTTAAAAAATTTATATTATTTTTTTAAAAAATATTTTTACTTTTAAATTTTTTTATGACACCTAGAACCCTTGGACCCTCCACTTTTAAAAAAGGGGGTTCAACAAAAATACGAGGGTCCAGGTGGGTTCGGGTTCACATCCCTGGTAAAAACCCAGATTTGCTGAACCCTAATTACATATAATGTTACTAAGATTATCAAAATTCGTGACTCCTAACTCAAGTCACAGTTTGCGAAATCAGTCATATCTCAAGTACGAGCCATCCGAACCCGAGTCATAAAAATTAATTCCAACCTTGAGCACGAGTTAAATAAAAAAATTTACCCAGAACCTAAACTATTATACTCTCATTTAGTAGGGTTCTCCAATATTTCATTTTGGAACTCGTTTAAAAATAGTTAGCGAACCAAATTTAAACCCTCAAAACGTCAAACATGTTTCTGGGCTCCATATCTTAATACCTTATCTATCTTAAAATTATAGAAAAGCTATTAGTAATACTTTTTATAAAAATATTTTTAAACTCTACTTAACTTTTCTCAGGTACTCTTTGATGTTAACGGGAATTTTTGTTTTGATCAAAATACGCATGTACTACATTTATTCGGAATCAATAACTCGGCAATATATAAGATTAAATTCCTATGATTATGTCGCTAGTAAACTGAAACCTCTGGAGCCTCTAAAATTAAGCTTGGGTCCTTGTTTTTGGGTTAACTTAATAGGGGGATCTCTTGCTCTCTTGGCCGGCTTATATGTTGTTATGGTAGTAAAGCTTGGTTCACTGCAAATGGGATCTGTCTTGTTCAATAAAGATAGGGTTCGAGCCTCTTTCCGCCGTTTAAAACACGAAATTGAGAGAGAAGAATCTAGTATCGAAGAAATGTCTAACGATATCGGTAAAACAAAATCAAACGGTTTTGAGATGAGAATTGGTTTCAGCAATAATCGTGCTTCGATAAAGGACGAAAGAAGTCAAATATTTGGCATAGGCGCTAATAGTTCCAATTTTAATTATCTCGACAATTATAAGAAAGTTAATAAGAGATTTAATCGTAGAAAAAGTTGGGATGGAAAACGTTCTCTGGTAAAATCTGTGCATGATTTTGATGGAAATAAGATATTAAGTAAAAATAGCAAAAGAAAATCTATGCAAATTATACACACTTCTGGCACTTATCCTACCGTTCTTACAGATTCTAATGAATCTCAAAATAAGAGACACAGTGTGTTATATCTTGCTAGTTAATATTTATTATATTTATTTCTTTTAAGAAAAAATTAGATTTTACAATAAGAATATTAGAGTGAATTTTATTTATTATATAAACTGTCAGAAAGCGATAACTCACGAGTAGTTTCGTTTTTTAAACCATAGTGTGAATTTAGAGCCAGAAAACATTATATCAATTGTTTTTTTTAAATGTTTAATTATGATACAATTTAAATATCCTAATGAATTATATTTTAATGCAAATAAATTTTAAATTATTCATAAAATAAGCAATTTCTATATATATTTGATATAAAAGATCATATATAAATATATAAAAATAATATATTATTACTTTTTATAATAAATTATATAATGTAGTTATTATACGATTTTATATTTTTTAAATTTTCTTTATGTTATTAAAGCTTATATGTATTATATTATATATCAAAAAGAAAAGTGCAATTTTTTTGTAAACGAATAAATCGAATATTATTGATACAAAAAGGATAACTTGTCATTTGATTAAATTCAAATACCTCCAAACAAATACTAATGTTAGAAATATCTGATTTGTTTAATTTTGAATATGAATAAAGGAGACCGGGGATCTTATGAGCCCAAGGTTCTTGCGAGCCTTGAGGTCCTCTTCTAGAATATTCAGCTCTAGTGGTAAGCATATTCGGCTATAAAATTTTTTAATATCTTATCACGCATAAAATTTTATAACACAATATATGATTTATGCCCTCAAAAATTAACTATTTTAAATGCTAGCAATTTATCAAAAATAAAAAATAATAAAGGTTTTAATTATCCCATAACTATCTTATATAAAAGATTAAACCCTAATCTATATATAATTATTCATTATTTGAACAAAAATATGTTTAAACTACCATAAAATAAATTTTAATGATATTGAGGGTCTGGGGCTACTTTTCCGAGGTTCATACGAGCTTTTTGAGTACTATTTTTAAAATTTACATAGGAAAAAAGAAACAATAAATAAATGATGAAAATATTAAATTAAAATCAGTCCTTGCTAGCCTTTATGGAGAAAATAAACTTAGGTTATGCAGCAGTAAGAAGATATAAATCAGATTAATAAAACATCAAGAATTTAAATTGAAAAATAATCTAAAAAGTGCAAGAAACTAAATTATACAATTATCTAATATATGCATTTAAAATTTTTATGGGTCTTTGTCCCAAGTAAATTCTCTTTTTGGGCCTTGTATCCTCTTGCAATTTTAATCCATTCTTTAATTAATTGTCAATAATTTTCACATATTTTTTAT